TAGTGGATTAAAACGGCAATTTCTGACGAAAACATTTTCACTCCTTTTTTGGCATTCAGAAGGCCATTTAGCGGAAACGGACCATAGTTCTGTACTCAGTGGTCATGCCCCTGCACCATGCAAAAAACCATTTTCGAAAAGCGTCCCAAGCTCTGAAAGACCTTACTTGTGAGGGAATGCAAAAAAAGACGCGCAGAGTGTAGCTTCTTCCCTAACTATATGTTCATCGTCTTTTTCTTGATTCCCATTCTCTGAACGTTTTGTTCGACCGTTCGCACATTACCCGCTGAAGAATCACGTTCTTCAGTTCTTTTCGAAATGCGCTCACGGGTCTTGTCAACAGAAGCCTCTACTTCCAAATTCAGGTTCGCGCCCTTCATTCGAAAATCACGCAGCAACAAGACGCGTTCCATGCATGATATGCACGCGAAGTGCGCGCGGAGAATCGTCGGTTAACTTGAACAATACCTGGTAAACACTGTAACAGTGAGTAATCTAGAATCTGAGTGAAACTCTCAGCAGGCTACTTTGACGAATTCTTCACTAGAGTTAACTGCTTACAAAGCAACCTTACCATTTTCAGAATGAGACTGTCTAAGGAGTTTGTGATAATCAGGCTGTAGTCATATCGAATTCTCACTACTTTGATTGTAATTACGACGGCACTGTAATGGATATTCATAATATTGGTCATAAATTACGGAGAAGGAGAATCTTGCGCAAATAGCAGATGGCCCCTCTGCGGCTAAGTGCAAGGGTTGTACTAGAGAACTATTTTCATCAACCTTTTTTAATATGATCTGAAATGCAATTTTTGTCAGGATGGCGTGTAAAGAAATTGAAATGAGCACTCCTAATGAAGTTCCTTGCAACTTTGCTCAAATGCAGCATAACATTTGCTGTGGTTGTGAACTGTAGGCGACTTTACCATACAATCTTAAGGATGCCAACGACCCAAGCGATGTGCTTCCACCGTTTCAGTGGTTTCCGTGTACGTTTCAAGACTTGTTCCACTCCTCTTTTTTGGCATTCCATAATAAGCGCACGAATTGCAGCAACCTGTACTTCTGGCGTCTGTAACGGGCCATTCATGATATCATTGATCATTCTCTTCAAGTTGATTACTTGATAAACGAGCATTCATGAAAGTTGCGTTAGTAGACGAGCGCTTAGGAATGGAAGCACTCACGATTGATTCATCTTCACTCTTTCCCAACAAATCTCGCAACCAGCGACTTCTTCTTTCATCAGCATCCCAGTTGTGGTCCTCCGCCATAACCACCTTTCCAGCGACGCTGACTTCGATAAATGAAACATACTATTTGATCCATCAAAAGTAATTGGATGATATGAACTCAACCAGAAACCATATATTTATTTGTCAATGACGGTGAAACCTATACGCATCACCTTCATGTCATCTGTCGTTGAGTTGACAACCGGTTTGCTCTTCAGAAGTTTGAAAGCCTTAATTTTGAGATAAATTTGAAGTTACTGTCAGATGGAGCACTTTCGGCACGTAATTTCTTACTTCTATCTGTCTTGAATGCGTCTGATGTTTTTCCTGATAAATGTAGACTACCAGTTGGGTCGCCCCGTTTACGACGGGCACCCATTCCTTACTTTTTCAGAGCAGTTAGAAAATCCTAGGTATTCCATATTACTACCTTTATGGTAATCATAATTTTTCGGACGGACAGACACACAAACCGACAAACCAACACACCATATCTCCGCTTTATGAATGAGAGAGATAAGCAGAGAGCATCTTATTACAGAGCACATCTGATTGTGAGCAATGGTTCACAACTTTCCGTTCTAGCAATTTTGACTTTAAGGTGGGCTGACCACTAAGCATGGATGATGACCTTTGATAGTGTTGACCGGGCCGACCTTCATTTGACCCGTAAGAACTTACTGAGAACCCCAGCGCATCCATGGTAACATCAAAATCTTGGACCAGTAAAAAAGCTAGATGGCTAGGTGCCACACGAGTTGATGGAGGTACACTCGACGCCGCGACTTATTGTCTGCGAATCCGCTTCAAATTCAACCACGACCACCCACTCATGAACAAAATGATTCTTTTTGATGAACCTCGGAATGTTAACTATGGTTAACTAGGGTCCGACGCAGATCGATTTGCCAAAATAAGGTCGCGCCATCGGTTTGATGTTACTACGGTACCCGCCGTGAGAACAAATTTTGCGTTTTCTCGTCTTCTTTCCATAAGTCGACTCGAAGTAAGTGTATTTGAAGAGCTGAAGATGCCTTTGAACTCAGCTTATAATAATTGCTGACTGAAATTGCTGACTGGTGTTGTTCAGTCCTATCGTTCATTTCTAATGTGGAGGCGGTAGATGACCACATGCACATTCTCTCTACATACTCCTTACAAGTCCCATTGAAAACATGTTTACGGCAAAATAAATGAGTTGATTTTTTCGACACTTCCCAATCTTTGGAGGGGTTTCTCGTCGGAATATAAGGAGGCGACTTGAAGGCAGTCTATTATCGTAGACAACTCTTCTGTCGCTGCCCGGCTTCCTGCTGGTCGTGTTCGGATTGGCAGGTGGCCGGGTATTGTAGTGCGCGGGGTTTCAATGGTGGCTTTGGGTGACCTCAGTTCCCTCTGATCCAGAGTGGCTTTAGCCACAATAGTGAAAACTCACTACGGCTCAGGCAAGGCAACGTTGAGACTCCAGGGAATAAGCACGCTAAAGCAGCAATAAAAT